CCATCTCAAAACCCTTAATCTAGTCACATCTACAAAGTCCATTCTGTTATGTAAGGTAACATATTCACAGGTTTTGGGGATTGGGATATGGACATCTTTGAGGGGGGCCATTATTTAGTCTACAATAAATCATTTCCATGCAATCAATCACTCACAGGTTATATGATTGTTTATGTAGAAAAAGCCAAGATAATTTACAAATAGATTAGAATTAATAGAGTTTAACAAGGTGATTCAATTACTTTCCTATAATTCAGATACGAAGAGTTGGAAAATAAAATTTAAAAAAAGATGTCACCACATTAAGAAATTATGAAGTGCCTCACAATAAATCTAACAAAAGATATTTAAAACCTTTATGAAAAAAATTATTTTAAAAATGATAGAAAAATCTTAAAGATGACCTAAATAGAAAAACATATTATGAACATAGACAGTAAACTTAATATGATAAAGGTGTCAATTCTTCACAGGAATATATAGATTTTATTGTAATTTCAATCAAAACCCTGACATGTTTCTTTAGGAACTCGATAAGCTGATTCTAAAATGTAAACAGAAATGTACAAGAACAGGTAAGACAGAATGGTGGTCTCACACTAGCACACAACAAGACTTATTATAAAGTATGACAATTAAGACAGTGTGGTGTTGCAACAGAGATAGATAACTAGATTTCCAGAACAGAAAACAGAGCCCAGAAACGCACCCATAGATGGACATTTAATATATATGACACAGTGGCACTGCAGATCACCAGAGAAAATGATGATGAGTAATTGGTTATTCATATAGGAAAAATAATAAAATAAAATTGAGACTCGTATTCGGACCAAATACAAAAATCCAAGTGGAATTCAAGAACCTAGTAAGAAAAGACAACTTCTAGAAGAAAATATGAGAGCATGTCTATGATCTTTGGTTAGAGCAAAGATATAATAAAATATAAAACGCACAACCTATAAAGAAAAAAGCTGATAAAGCCAACATCATTAAAATAAAAAAATGCCTGAGTATCAAAAGACATCATTAAAAAGGTGATAAGACAAACTACAGACTGGGAAAAAATTTGCAATATTCATAATTGACAAAGGATTCAAATCCAGAATATATAAATAACTCATAAATCAATAATTTAAAAAAACTCAACAGAAAAATGAGTAAAAGATAAATTACAGAGTAAGAATCACTAATAAATGCATGAAAATATGCTCTATCAGAGAAATGCAAACTAAATCACAGTGAGGTACCATTTCACATCCATCAGCCTGGGAAAATTAAAAAGTCTGACAATTTCAAATGTTTGTGGTCACAGGGAGAAATGAGAACTCCTTTACATACTGAAGTAACTGCAAATTGGTTTAAGCATTTAAGAGACCAAGTAGGCAGTATCTAAAGGTGAAGATGTATGAAGAGGCATATACCCTTCAACCTATTTCACTCATGGGTATACAAATCACATAGAATCGCATGGGTATATACCCTAGGTTCTTGAACTCGTACATGAGGAGGCATTTACAAGAATGTTCATTGCAACATTGTTTGTAATAATAAAAAATGGAAAACTATCCAAATGTCCATCAACAGAGAATGGGTAAATAAACTGTGGTATATTCATATGAGATGAGATATTGTACAACAGAGGAAATTAATGATAAATTATATATATCGTTGTGGATGATTCTCAAAAACAGTAAGGGGAAAAGTTTTCAGAAAGTATTATACTATTTTTCTAAAAGTTAAAAACACAAAAAATATATATTTGGTTTGGAAATATAGACATATCTAGTAAAAGTATAAAAAGTCGTGTATGGGAATAATAAACACGAATAGAAACCAAATGTGGTTTACTTTTGGCAGGGGGAATGAAATCAGGGGGAGTAATACAGAGCTTCAGCTATAAATGTAAAGCTTTATTTCTTAATAGGTGATGGATATTCATTATTTGTATCTTAGAATGAACTATGCCACTTAGACAGCATTATATATTTATTGCTCAGAAATATGGAAGGAAATAGAAAAAGGAAAGAGGGAGTAGGGAGGTGAAGGAAGGTGTAGAGGACCCTTGTTTTTTAAAAAATTCTATTTCTTGTTTTTTAAAAAATTGTACTTCTGGCTGACCTGTAAACTATACAGAATTACAACTTCAATAAAAGTCAATTATTATAAAAATAATGGAAGTTTGATCCAGGGAGTAATATGTGATGTGCTTCTGGCAGATCTCTACTTTTAGATGCTTTATCTCAGTGCTATTCAAAATATGGTCCTTAGACAAGTGTGAGCTGGTGATTTGGTCTGCATGGACTAAATGTAAGAATTGAGCCTAAGTGTTTGGGAACTTTTAGCAATTTTAGAGTGATTTTATGTATGTTGAATCTAGTAGAAAAATATGGTCTTGTATTTTATATTTTATAATTCATTATTTCATTTTTTTCCCTAGAAATAAACTCTTATTTTACATAAGTATTGGTGTGCAATGAATTGAAAACAAATAAACTGCTCCTGCATAAATAATTTGAGATGCATTGCTCTACCTTAATGAAAACTGCTATCTTCATGATTTCCCCCCCTGCAATGTTTAGGTTTTCTTGTTCCTTAGGGATCTTGTGTTCTGCTCCTAAAATATTAATGTCCAGTGTGGGATTCCAGAATTGTTTTATCTGATTCCAGATATTTGCCTTGCATATAAAGATATGGCTATTCTTTGCATGCATTTCCTTCAGACACATGTAAATGAAGCTGTAATTTCCTGTTGGTAAACAGCAAGCCTTTAAATTTAGAATCAGGTGGTAAGGTTGGTATGTAGAAGTGTAATAAATTGGATTGCTTTCAAAGCAATACCTTTTCAAGTTAACTGTTAACTTACCAGTTTGTTGCTTTTCTTAATTATACCTAATATCACCTGGTATGTGAAAACACCATAGATAGGATTTAAAGTATTTACTTCATGGACTTTTTGCATGAAAAATAGACCTCATGCTACAGAATGAAAGATATAAATTAATAAAACATTATTATTGTAAGAGAACAAAATAAAACCCAACCTCTTCTCCAGTGCTTGGCAGCACTCCTGTGAAGTTTCAGGCTGTGTGTGGTCTCCATCAGAGGACTCTAAAGCTTGCTTAATGGCCTGTGTGACAGCAGGAGCCCAGGCTACACAGTAGGGGCCTCTGAAATGTCCAAACATATCTGTTGTAGATCTCCTTTGCTCCTCAAGGATAGACTTGTTTTTTAAAATTATTTTTTTAAGCCAGATTAGTTACTGATTTCCACGGTCCTCTTACACCTGCCACTTCTCGAGAGATTTTTTTATAATCTTAATCTTTCTGAAAAGTAATAAAACATTTCCTCTTCCTGGCTTTCCATCAGAAACACCCAATCTCTTTCAATTCAAAAAGTCTAAAGGACTTTGTCTCTGGCCTCATTTAGCTTTTAATTTACAGCAGTTTAGTCTCTGATAAGTTTTCTAATTTCATCGTTTATGTTACTTAACATTTGTTTGCGACTTTACAGAATTCTTTCTTACTAACGTGCCATTCTCGAATATTCTCATAACTAGTATTTTGCCTTGCTCTGTATTTCATTCTCACCCTCCTAAAAGACAAACATGAGGTGTAGGGCAACAACGATAGCCTCTAAAGCCTTGTCTTTCTTCCAGAGGTCTCTGCAGCAGACTCCCTGCCTCTAATTTTTATCTTCCCCAACGCTGCCCTAATCCACTGAGCTTTGGGTTAGCTGAAGTCTGAGACCTTGATTCCAACGGCACCAACCTGTGAGGTTAGGCGATAATAGTTTTCCCTCTCCAGGAGCACCTAGCAAAACCAAAGCAGGTAATTATATTTATCTACGGTTTGGGGTTGCTACTGAAGGAAGTGAAGCAAGACAGGTAGAGGAAGAAATGTAACTAGGAAGGGGCTGATAGCGAGAAAAAAGAGGGGTCCCGTGACTTAAGCTTCTGAGGAGACAGTCATGGGTGAGGACAAGGTGGCGGAGTGAGAACAGTAGCGGGAAACGTCCCCAAAGATGAGGCGACCCAAGAACTAATTAGTAGCTTTTTCAGTAAAGCTCTGAAGCAACTCGAGTGGCCGGTTGTTTGGCTGCTGCCCAGGCCAAGGTAATAGAGCATGGTCAGGTCCTATAAAAGCCTGCAAGTTAACTCGAGGTCACAGAAGTCATGGCAAGTTTAAGTACATGCAATATACGGTCAGCGCTGGTCAACAGGAACGGCTCAGAGACTGAGGAAGCCAGTCCAGGGGTCGAGTCCACACAGTGGCGGGAACTGCCGCCCATATCTGGGAACCCCTTCTCGCAGCAGCAAAAGCAAAGCCCTAGAAGACCTCATTGCTCAGGTCCTGTGACCGAGCCAGGCTCTAATTGGCTGCAAAAGCTCGCTGCCTTTTTCTGTTTCCCAGAAGCCTTCCTGGAAACTACATTTCCCAGAGGGCCTTGCAGTGCTTATTCTTCCTGGCTGTTTATATATCTAGGGTGGTGTCGGGTTTGCCCCAAGTCCATGGAGAACTTGACTGGCTGGTGAAGATTAAAACATCTGCACTCTGGAGGCGGAGGAAGCGAGCCGCGGCACTGGCCCTTCCTTTGCGCAGAGGCCTCTGGGAAATGTAGTAACATCGAGGTCTCCGAGTCCTCCTGGTTCTCGCGTTTCCCCAGGCTGTGAGGGTCGCGCGTGGGGCGGGACCAATGGGGAAGAGGAGGCTACTAGCTTCTCCCCGACCATCGGGTGGCGCTGCGCACGAGCATCTACCCATCTACCTCTTGCTTATCCCATGCTGGAATCTCTCTTCTATCCTATTGTCTTGAGATTTCTTTAAGTTTAGATTTCGATTAAGCAATTTTTAGAGAGATCTGAGAAATGGGGACAATATTTTAAAAGAAACAAATGACAACAGCCCTAAATTGCCCCCCACCCTTCTGCTGCTCGTCGGATGCTTTATGAGGGTACAAAGAACCGTGGCGCTGCGCCTGTTGGGGTGGGAGGGATCTATTTTAAGTCAGGACTTCTATCGGGCAGTTACTTCCGCCTGCAGAGAGTGTCGAGTTCTCGCTGGTGCTCACTTCCCTGAAGTGGGCTACCACGACCCTCGGTCCCAGCCCAAGCCTTATTTCTGCCTTGGAGGACATTTGTTCTGTCCAGCTGCAGTGGTGTCGTTCTCATTTCACGGAGGGGAAAACTGAAGGTGTGGTGGATAAAGTGGTTGACCTGCTAAAGGTCTTCAGCTAGTTGTGTAGTCAGAACTCAGTACAATCGGAACTAATTCTGATTCCTGTCTCTAACCTGTCCTGTCCACTTCATGTGGTGTTAGTCTCCTTTTCTCAGTTTTTCTGCTACTGCCTTAGTTTAAGGGTGACATTACACTAACAGTGTCATCCATTCAGTATTTATTGAGGGTGTGCTAAGTGCCAGGCATTGTGCTGCATGCTGGGGCACGGTATTGAATGGGGCAGACACAACCCTACCCTTACGGAGTTTATAATCTAATAGAGAAGACATACTAATTACATAACACAAATGAGAATAAAATTTAAAACTGTAGTAAATAGAAAAAATAGGGTGCTACAAAAGAGAATGGAGGGAACTATAAATTAGATTGGGAAATTAAGGAAAGGAAGGAATGCTTGATTTGAGACCTGAAAGCTGAGAAAAATGAAGCTTTGTAACCGCCAAAGTGGAGTGATCCAGGAGGAGGGAACATCAAGTGCAAAGGCCCTGGGATGGGTAAGAACTTCTATTGTTATTCAAGGGCTGCAGTGAGGTTGGGAGAAGGTAGAGCAAATTGAGGCTGGCCTCCCTTTCTCCAGTCTTAACTCATCTAAACTGATCCACACTGACAACATAGAAATCTTTTCAAAACTCAAATATGATGACTTTACTCTCTTGTAGAGGCTTTGTGCCCCCTACAAGGCAAATTCCTTGGCCTAGTGCTTTAGGACCTTCATAACTGGATTTATCTTGCTTTATAGTTACAGTCTCCTTTTTTTTTTTCGGGCATGCTGTTAACTTCTGCTTGGTATGCCCTCTCCCATATTCTTGCTGAGCAGGCAAACGTCTATTCACCTGTCCTGTCTT